GAAGTCTCTAAGAGACCACTTGAGTGCATTGCTTGAGAAGAAAGCATGTTGAAAATACTGCTGGACGGTGAGAGAGAACAGGAGAGTACGTAACAGCACGAGGAATAGAACCACGAAATTGTAACATGTCTTTTGAGACTGTATTACGACTCGTATAAGCTTAAGACCATAAGAACCAACACAATTCATCGGTATTTACATGGTTTTCGATATCAATCCGCAGCAACACAAATGCAGACAAGATCCGTTTCATGGCGGAGGTTGGTCCAGGGGGGGTTACCATATATATATATATGTATATATGCATACATTCACGACTATACATGTGTAAATGCACAGATGCATGTGCACACAGAAATGTCCATGCTCGTTCTCGAGTCATCATGTTCGGAAGCCGGTTCCAAGTAGTATTCGCCGTGACCATGATCAATGTTGACGCCGCTGCCACCACCGCCACCTCCGGATCAACACCACCGACGTCACCATCATCACCACCATCACCACAACTTTGCAAGAAAACGAAAGTAGGAAGAAAAACAACGTGGTCCACAAGTTCGTAGACGAGCGTTACAGTGCCAGCTAAGGCCCAGCCCTGCAAACCGACAAGAACCTGTCCCTGGCAGCGAGTGATGCCGAGACGGGGACAGCTGGATAGTTGTAAAGCTTGTCCTCAGTATACATGGTGTCTTGCAGCAGGCTTGGAGAAGCGGGGCCGTAGCCGTGTTTCCACTTGCTCGAACCTACCTCGCAACCAAGCGGCGCACACCCATGCATTAAAAGGCCATGCAACAGCACAGCACGAAGTTCAATAACACAGTATTGGGTTGGAAGAGTGCGTGTTGAGGTTGCATGTTTTGTCATTGTGTCAAAGTAGTTGCACATGATGAAGTCATGAGCCGCATTCGTCGGGGTAGCATTCCACAAGCAAGGGTCTTAGTTTCAAAAGGTGTTTGCCAAGCTTCGTCCAGTTGGTTTCACCTCCTTGGCTTTTATTTGGGCTTATGTGTGCGTGGATTTCGCGGTACTGAGACTGGGAAGACGACAACAGCTACATTTCTGCTGCTGCTGCTGCTATTTCTACTACTACTACTACTACTACTACTACTGCTACTACTACTACTACTACTACTACCACTACCACTACCAATACTACTACTACTACTACTACTACTACTACTACTACTGCTACTGCTACCGCTACTGCTACTACTGGTACTACTACTACTACTACTACTACTACTACTGCCGCTACTAATGCTATCGCAACTGTCACTGCCTGTTGTTATTTGTGCTTCTACACCGACGGCGACAAAGGCGAAGACTAAGGTGCTGCCATGCACGGTTTGACAGTCGAATCGGGTGGCGGTGTTTTAATTTCGGCAAGCTGATCCGACATTGGTGATCGTGACCTTGTGCCAGAAGTTGCACGTTTCTCACAACTTCGATGCGTCAGGTTGCTTTTCCAAGATACGAGCGTTCGAGTTCTCGCGGACATCAAAATCCCGTTGACACAGCTGGGACACGCGTACATCCACAATGGACAACTGGTTTGGCAGTTCGCCACCAGTCGATTTCTCGGACCACGACTTGGTCCTAAGCCTACGAGTCATGCCACATACTGCTTTGGTTCCATGGTTGCAATGACGTTACCTTGCTTGGATTCTGAGGTGTCTGTATGCCGCGTACATGCAGTGAGACTGCCGCACTGTACCGCGGAGTATCGTGGAGTGGAGTGCGCGCAGTGTACGTAGTGACATGAAACCAACGAACGCTAGAGGCATAAGCGGCTCGCTCCGCGTGTGGACATGAGCCTGTTACTTGATTCTGCTCCCAATTTGTTGATGTGCACGCCTCGAAGTGCTACTGGCCGGGAAAAGAGCATTCACAACGGCTTTGTGTGCGAGTCTTTGCGAGTGTAGCATTGCCGTATATATCTCCACCATTTGTGCCAAGCTGATTTGAGCGTTAACAGACGTCATGATTTGTTCTGCATATGGCCGGTTTTGAAGAGCTCTGGCGTGAAGGTTATCAGTGCTTTCCAGAAAATTTAACGTCAATTGGGAAGAACGGCTGTAGGTTTTGTAGTCGACGCAAGGCACCGCGAACCTGAGTATGGCGCACATGCGAAGACACACTCGAGCATCGTGATGTTGTCAAGCCGAAAAAGTTTGTAAGGTGGATTTTGCCTGTGTTTTTCATTGCAAATCATGTGCAGTAGTTGGTTCGTCCCCATGTGAGTGTTTGTACTAGTACTGGCGCCTCAGATACAGCAAGTTGCTCGACAGACATTTACACATCTTCCGCGCTGGTCAAGACGTCACTGATGTTTCGCCATCTCGCTTTGATCTGTCTACGAGTTCTATCTAGCAGCTAGCCCCCTGCATGATTCCAAGTCATTGAACAAGATGGTTAGTTTCTTTCAAAATCTGGTTACCAGGCAGAGCCATTTTCCCAGCGCGGACATGTGCACAGCGATCGTCGCAGCCTTCTATTGATGCCAGGACGGTTCTGACGGTCGCCTTGCAGCATGGAAGCTTACTTGTTGTCGTCCCTAATCAGGCATGTTTTCATAGACCGCTATCAGCAGGCCAGGCACGGCCAATGCAATGGCTCCGGGTTCAAGCTACTGAGTACAAGCACTGCGCATGCTATTCGATTGGCTACGAAGTGCCACATGGATACAGTGGGTTTCATTGCTGTGGGCGCGTCGTATGAGCTAATTCTGGACCATGTCACCCAGGACCCATCTCTCCTGCCACTGCTTTGGGTTACGCTGCTGGTGGGGATGCAGAATTCGAAATTAAGAACCTTAGAAACTGTTACAGTGCATGTGGAGGGATCAGTTTGAAGACGCCGTCCAGGTTGAAACAAAAGCGCAATCGAAGACGGGGGTATTCGCAGCTCATGACAAAAGTCTTGAACACCACCCTGTCAGTTGCTGGTGCTGTCACAAAGCTCAAAAGCTGCTGGCGAGCCTCGCAGCATGGTGTCTGCTGATCAAACCTACTGGCTGCAACAGGATCCGTCTGTCTCCCAGACGATCGGATTCCTTTGCTCTGAAAATGCGGTTTTCTTGTGCTCAAACTTTTACAGGGTCAACAAACTTGACCCGCTCGGTTTACCAAAATGTTCAACCCAACATAGCTGCATGCCATGACATTCGATTGAACAGCACAACCAGTGGATGTAATGTTTCCCTGCAGTACAAAGAGTACTTTTCTTTGCATGGAAACCCGTTCTTTGAAGGTTTCTACACTTTGACAGGAGTGCGATGTGAACAAGACATGTTGGCCGACCGAGCATCCAGCAATTGCAAATGTTCCTGTCCCGCCGTATCTACTATCTTCGCGGCTCGCGGGGACCTCCACGCACTTACAGACGTTTACAACGATGCAATCACCACAGCGTGTGAAGTCAACCCTTGCTTTCACCCCATAGACTTTCCAATCAGCAACGGGAGGTCATGTAAGCTACAAACGATGTACACTTTGGACATCCCATCTGTACCTTTAGGATGTTCCAGCCCCACCAAAGAATGCCAAAATTGATCAACCTGCAAACCATTGTTGTTTGCATCAGTCTGAACACACTATTGACTTTTCACCAGCCATGCATCATGCCGAAACGTGCATGGAGCACAGCTTGTCCACAAAGTGAAGATGCTCGGGCAGTGTTGTTGGTGGTCTTGAAGACAGAAGCAGCGTACTAAAATTCATTCATAACCCCGAGGCTGCCAATCGCGACATGCCCAAGTTGCAAAGGTTTCCTGATAGTTACAAGTTGCAGCCTCACAGCTGCTTCTTGATGGTGTGCAGAGCTTTTCGAAAGTTAGCATAGCTTTGCCTCGGTCGTGAAAATGTGCCTGTGCTTTGGCTTATATGTTTGTTGCCATGGAGGGTTGCTCTAGCTGGTGACCAGTCGTGTAACAACTGGCAGTTACTGACGGTACCAGCAGTTGGCACTGTTGTCGATTGAACCTTACCGATGGTTTACCGTTGTCGTCGTACGCGATTCAGCCATCGTTTTTTGCGAATGTGTGCGTGTGTTAATTTGTTCGTTTGTTGGTTTGTCTGCTTCTTCGCTTGAGCGTGTACGCGTGCCTTGTTGTTTCTCGGTTCCTTTCCCTCTCCCATCTCTTTCTCATTCCTCCCTTTGCTCCCTCCCCTCCCTGCCTCGCTCGCTGTTTTTGCACACATGGTGCAAAAATAAGTTGATTCACTAACTCGATAAGCACTTTGATTTTGCGCAGCTATTCAGCGCGGTTGAGACAGTACTACATAGTTGAGGATGGCGCATTTCGATCATGGCCACAAGTCCTTCCCTGTCCAAGTTGGATTCTTAACTCCGCGGCATAGAAACGTGAGTGGAGCGCTCTTGAGCTCAAACAGAGGCATAGGCTGGTATAGGTGTAGCTTTCATGCACTCCCCGGGCAGTCTTTTGCAGATGACAGTCTCCAAGCCTGTGATTCACGGGACGCATCCAAATTCTCGATCCAAATTCTCGATTTTGCCAATGCAGCGCGCAGAGCGCGGCGCAGCATTCATGCCAAATTGATGGCATTATTCAACCTCTCGTTCCTAAATCTTGACTTTGCCAATGCCGCGCGCAGAGCGTGCCGGAGCATGGATGGTGTCCTGCGCGTAAAGAACTGTGGTGCAACAATTTACTACCTGCAACACTTATGAGCTGTCGGCAACCATGTGCCATAATCAAATTGCCATGAACCTACGGAGTTTCACGAGTCAGATCGTGCTAGGGATGCATCTATCCAGCCAGAAACTGTCGGCCGAAGCTGTCTGGTTTTTGGCAAGGTATGTGTCAGCGTTGAAAGATGTAGGTGGCTGGGAGTTTCATCTACCCCTGTATTCAAGTAGAAGCGGCTCCGCATTGATTGTAGGTTATGCGAGCATTCGCCTAGCCAAGTTCAGAAGCTCATTTTCCCAGCCCTACATCACTGCCAAGGGGATTTTGACCCTGGCAGCTCCGGATATTTAAATATTGAGTGTGCGAAAGACCCTGGCATCAGGTTTTTCCTTCGTGAAAAAGTAGAGCTTTTCCAGAGATCATTGCTTTGAGGATCCGAGGCGGCATATTGTGAGCCACCTGGCGCGGTGCTTTGATTTAGCCTTTTATCGTATCATACGGCAAAGATAGAGTGGAGGGCTCAGGTTCAGGCTGCCCATCAAGGCCTTCCTGTACAACCCATTGCTGTAGCACTCTTAAGTTCGCGCCTCAGTGCCTGACCCAACCTTAAGAATTTCGGACGACATTTTCGGAAGCTGGCTACGACAAGGGCACATCAAAGCTTCGGTGTTTCAAGAGCTTGCGCGTCAAAGTCAAGACTTCAACTTCAACGTCTCCGATCAGGTGGCAATTCTGACGCTTGCTTCGGCGGCTGTCCTCGTCGCATTCCGATGGGCATTTTCCTCGGTCGTTCAAGTGGATCATGAGCTTCATGCGTGACAAGTGGATGTGCACGTGTACGTGTGTTTTTCGTGGTTCTTTGGGCTTTTGGGACAGCAGGCAGAAAGGGTCCGAACGTAGTCTTGGCCGATCTTTGCTTTTTCGATTTCTGAGCTTTGCGTCGGCTGCAATTTTGGTCACAAGTCGTGAATCCGAGCTGAAGTGT